TAACAGGGGGGGCGCCAGGATTTGCCCGACGGTGGGAGGGGCCGAGCGATGCCTCCGAAGAGGGGTCAGATTTCCCCCGACGAAAGCAATGTGGGCGTGGTCGAGCTTCGATTAAAAGGTTTCGAAAGTGCTCCAGGGGGCGAAGCCCCCGAAAATTTTAACAATTTAGGGGTTTCAAAGGCTTATTTAATCGATTTTAGAGTCTACTAATATGAAGAAAATACATATAATTGTTTTTTTTCTCCCCGACGAATTGTGCTTTTTCTCCCCGACGAATTGTGCTTTTTCTCCCAGACGGGGGCTACAGCCCCCCCCCCCCCCCCCCCGCCCCCCCCCCGCTGGCGCCACCCCTGGTTATTAACATACATGATTTATAAATGAAAGAATGGTTTATACTTTTTTTGGAGAGCTGAACTACACGATATTTAGTTAAAACATAAGTTTAAGGATTAGATTTCCATTTGTCATACGTCATCATCTTTGTAGAACTGACACTTGCTAAAGTGAAATGTTAATCGGTACACATGCAACATAAATAAAGCATATGTGTTAGATGGTTGCAACCGTGTTCGTGTGGCAGGGACATTTATCAGAAAAATAATGTGGAGCAACATTACGTGACGCAAACAACGAGTACAGCAGTGTGACAAGAATGTCTATCAAAAGCAATGGAAACGTTAATTTGTGACGTAATCACGCGACGCGGAACGTTATCGGCCCGGTCGATTGGTGATCAATCTTCATCAATATTGTGAGTGTTTACATTTCAACGGAGAACGATACATATTTTATTTTAATGAGGTGACGAAAAGTAAGACACATGAATTTCTATTGATTAATGTCGGCCACTCACTCTCTCGAAGGGCACATTTAGAAAAGGAATCATTCATAATGGTCCTCGACGACCAATCTATGATAATTGAGATAGTATATAGCAACGGCCCTATTATCAAAAATTGTTCTTTGTTATCCTTCATTCTTATCATTTATACTAATAATTCCACACGGTTTGATATTACATTATGAATATTGCTAAACTATTCAAATCACCTTTGTATGATTAATTATGTTAATTGTACCTGCATCTGTTAAAATAATCTCCGACGTTCCAGTTATAACTAACTACTGTGTATGCAGACATTGTCCAATTACAAAATAAAAATTATTATGATGATGACGACGAAGATGAAGACGACGATAATTATGATAATGATGATGTCGATAGTTATGATAATGATGATGACGACGATAGTGAGGATGATATGATGATGATGATAATGAGGATGAATATGATGATGACGACGGCGATGGTGGTGGTGATGATGATGTTGATGATGCCAATAATGCTTATGATGATAATTATGATGATGACGATAATCATAATTATGTTAAAGATGATGATGGCGATGATTATGATAATAATGATGTCGACGATGATGACGATATTGAGGATATGATGATGATGACGACGATGACGGTGGTGATGATGATGATAATGATGATGTTGATGATGCTAATAATGCCTATGATGATAATTATGATGATCAATATGATGATAATGGCGACAACGACGACGATGATGATAATTATTCTCTTAAACAGTTTCCTAAATTGGATATTTCATACGTCAAAATTCATCAGTTGCTATGACAGTATGAACGCGCTGTGGGTCACATCAGTTTCTGAACACACAATTTAATATACAATACAATGTATGTATAAGTCACAAAAGCAGATAACATTCATTATACAAAGCTATCATATTTATTCCATAAACCTTAAAGATCGCATGAATAATTAAACTGAAACCCTGCACCATCTCGTTAAATAAATGGAAGTCAATTATATTAAATGTGGTTAGTATCACAGGTTACATTAATTAACGCATATCATCATTAATTAACGCCACTTCCTGTAAGGAATTACAATAATTTCTAAAACTACCATATTATATTTATCCCACAAAAAAAGAATCTGTACAGCAACCATCTTCTGGTTGAAGGACGCTACCACAATAATGAAAATACATTAACGCAGAGTTTTATACTGTAATACACTAACATCATATATATATATATATTTTTTTTTTTACAAATTGCCAGTGTTTGATGACGGTTTTCTTTATGTTTTTGTCAAAATGTTTTAAAGCGGTGTTATAATATTTTTTGTGCCATCTACACTGGCAATTCTGTTTGTTATTTTCTCCATTTTTCCGTTATAATTTTTTTTTTCATATTTTTCACCTATTTTATGTCTATTCAATTTACGTCAAACAATCTGTACATTATTGGAATGCGTCAATGCTCCTTTCTTTCCAAGTAATATCCATAGTTATATCTATTCATAAAGCCTACTCCAGCACGATTTACAGTTTTTAGACACTTCTTACTCATTTCGATAAATCTCTTTTGTATAAAAATTTACTTAACATTTGAAAGTCGAGCTGAATTTGGTTTTAAGAATAAGTGCACAAGAAATTAAGTTAAAAAGATATAGTTAGGCACGTTGAGATTAAATTAAGAAGACACTTGTCAACATTTTGTCTTAAGTATTTCTGCAGGCGCAGAAAGCTCCCCTGTCCTTAATAACAGGAGTCTAATCACTTATGAATTAGATAGGAATGTAATGTTCTTAACACCAAATTTTGAATATAAGTATCAAATTTATTATTAATATTCATACTAATTCAACAGCGAGTTATTCGCTATCAACTACTGTACCGGAAGATAAAAGAAAAATAATAAAGTTTAGGCCTATAGTATTTTGAAAAAAAAAAAATTTCCAAAAACCTAAAGCACAGTTTTTAATTGAAGAAATAGTAATAAAGACAACAATGAGAACAGTGGCTTCCAAGGCACAATCACTTAAATTACAATCAGCATGTTGATTGCGCCGCCAAGAGTTGCCAGATAGTGTCAATAAACGAGCCTAAATTACAACAAATTTCTTTAAATGACTTACAAGGAAAAAAAAAATTGGCAACTTTCTCTAAAAACTTACAATTCGTCAAAGTTTAGCATTTCTGTTTAAGTTCACACGTTAACTCGTGTTCACAATAAGCTTATGAAAATATAATCTCTCAAATGCAGATAGTTTCAAAAAGTGTAGTCGATAACATCTGAAGGCATGGGTGTCGCATATTCCTTTTAGAGTCAGAAAATAAGAATCCTTAACCTTTTTGGTACAAAAGACCAATAATCTTCAGTTTCGTAAAAGGCGCAAATGGAATTACAAGAAGATGATACCTTTGCAAATTATATACTTCTGTTAAAGTACTTGTTAAACATTACAAAACACAAATCCATTGTCCTGAAAACGAACTGTTTGTTCAATTTGTTTTAGTAGAGATGGTTAATTTGATGTTTAACAAAAGTAATAGAGTCAAGACTCTGCAAGTGTACCGAGAGCAGCTTCAACTAGTTCCCGAGTGTCCTCTAAATCTGTTGGCATTTCTCCTTCCAAATTATTATTAATCTCGTAAATCATATTCATCTCGTCAAGCTCCGTCTTCAGTCGAACGACTGTGTTTGTGAGTGCGTCGATATAATTCTTTGCGAGCGTCAACGTTTCGATTTTTGACAGCTTCCGTTGACAGTGGACGTGGGGAATAACGTTTCGTAGGCACTGAAACGCGTCGTTCAGGGAATGCATGCGTTGTCTCTCCCTCTCATTGCTTTCAAGTCGTCTGGTATTCCTTTCGCGCGCATTATACGATTTCCTTCGGCGGGAATGCTTTTTTGACTTCTTCGGCGACAATTGTTCTGGATCTTCGTCGCCTGCGTTCGAACTGCATGATGATCCTTCGCCGTCGTTCGATCCGTCGACCGAATTCGTTCTGTCTAAAGTTCTTTTTGCTCCCCTTGTCGGTTCAACCGATGTGTTATTCCTGTACCAGTACTGGTTTGTTGTTGGCTGTTGTTCAGTCGTCGTTTCTTCAACGAAATTAAACGGTTTCCACGACATATTTACTTCAAATTGGTTACACTCAGCAGGAGTAGTTGGGTTTATCTGTTGGAAGAAATAAAAAAAAATCCCTTAATATCAACACACCAAGTAGATGTGTTTACTGCAATATAAAGCCGAAACTGGCTTAAGTACGAAAGCAGTTACATATGATGTGCACGACGTAATGCAGTGATAAACTAAAGTGATGTTAATTCTCGACTATACCGCATCATCAACTTGTGTGAAACGAGCTCAGTGCTAATGACGAAATCAGCAAATCACTCTGCGCAGATGCATTTCTCTGGTGTTTCAGATACGCATGAATAAATGCGAGATGCAATTGTGGGGGTTGAGAAAACAAATGAGCGATAAAAGTAGTGATAATTGTAAGACGAACACTTGTATCTAAATCCGTTTTCAGGAAATGCGATTTGAGGAGAATAATAGCTCCCACGGGACAATTGCAGTCATTACGAAAGATAGAGCTGACGGCAAACCAAGCTAACATATATACTCTTTGAATACACGTGGAAAATACATCTCAGTCGAAGAAAAATAAATGCAGTTATCAATAATGAGAGAAAATCTTGTACACTAACAAAATCAATCGATGGCGACTGTAGCATGTAAAAAAATACTAACACAACTGCAAAAATTTGGAATTATCAATGAATAAAATGTAATTCATCAGATACTCTCTTTCAAAAACAAGTTTGCAAAAAAATAATAATGACGTAAGCAAAGTGTAGTAGCCATCAAAATGTGACGTCACGCTTAATGCGTATTATTACTACTGCCCGAGAGCGAACACTTCCTTAGCAACGGTAGCGAACAGAGAAAATTACTAAGAATATTTATAAAACGTGATAGGTTTAGAGGTGGTGTGTAATTGAAAACGAACAGAGCGAATGAGACACTGTAGATTGTACGATGAAGTCAAAATCGAAATGTAAATGCACATGAGCACTTGGAAGTCATTTAAATAGGCCTAGGTCTAGCCAATCGAGCTGCGCCTTAGGCTGGTTTTCGACTAGGCGAATTTATTCGCGCGAATCTAAGCGTCGGTTCGCTTCCTGAGCTCTGATTGGTTGCGCATTTGTTCGCTTCGGAAAAAAAAAAAATCCGATAGGAATATGAATGCGCATGCGCATGAACCGACGCTTTCGATTCTCGCGAATAAAAATGGACCTTTCTGCTAAGCCCCGGCCCTTGCATATTGCTGCAGCTACAAAGGTCCCATTGAAAGGGTAGCGTAAACGTACATAAACGCGTGCGTTTGTATGACAGCACTTGAGTGTGTTGGACAAAGCGTATTCCTGGCCTTGTGACCTGTTCTCCTAAATTGACACCCTAGACAGATCCAATTCACTTTGATCCCCATCCCTGTCGTTACTCCCGCTCCTTTAATCAGCTCTACTAATAAAGTATTCAACATCTACACGCCGTGTATCCGAAACAGGAACACAGCTCGTCATTTCATTTATTTTGTCTTAAATCATCCCTGCCCAGACTATATAAAATAGTATTTGACAAAAACATGTGACATGCCTAAATATGGTAATGATGATTTCACGTCATGGCAAAGTGTAGTAGCCATCAAAATGTGACGTCACGCTTAATGCGTATTATTACTACTGCCCGAGAGCGAACACTTCCTTAGCAACGGTAGCGAACAGAGAAAATTACTAAGAATATTTATAAAACGCGATAGGTTTAGAGGTGGTGTGTAATTGAAAACGAACAGAGCGAATTAGACACTGTAGATTGTACGATGAAGTCAAAATCGAAATGTAAATGCACATGAGCATTTGGAAGTCATTTAAATAGGCCTAGGTCTAGCCAATCGATCTGCGCCTTAAGCTGGTTTTCGACTAGGCGAATTTATTCGCGCGAATCTAAGCGTCGGTTCGCTTCCTGAGCTCTGATTGGTTGCGCATTTGTTCGCTTCGCAAAAAAAAAAAAAAAATCCGATAGGAATGTGAATGCGCATGCGCATGAACCGACGCTTTCGATTCTCGCGAATAAAAATGGACCTTTCTGCTAAGCCCCGGCCCTTGCATATTGCTGCAGCTGCAAAGGTCCCATTGAAAGGGTAGCGTAAACGTACGTAAACGCGTGCGTTTGTATGACAGCACTTGAGTGTGTTGGACAAAGCGTATTCCTGGCCTTGTGACCTGTTCTCCTAAATTGACACCCTAGACAGATCCAATTCACTTTGATCCCCATCCCTGTCGTTACTCCCGCTCCTTTAATCAGCTCTACTAATAAAGAATTCAACATCTACACGCCGTGTATCCGAAACAGGACAAAAACATGTGACATGCCTAAATATGGTAATGATGATTTCACGTCATGACGACCATAGGCACATATATTCAAGATTCAAGAATCAGTTTATTGTCATATATAAAAAATATATATGAAAATTGTATAAATGTGCATACAACAGTTTTTTTTGTTTTTTTTTTTTCATCAAAGACAATTTGATCTGGAGAAAGTTTAACAGAGTACATTCGGCCAGACACTATCACCAAAAGTATACTATTGTCACGTGACTCTCCAAACCGATTAAGAAAACATGAACATGATGAAAACAATTTTTAATATTGGATAAAATTTTTAGTATTACATTTAAGATATTAATCACTTACTTAGATGCTGAACGAAGACTAGAACAAAGCCAACATTTATTTAGGCAAAACTACGGATGTTGTTATATAGGTCAATTCTTGTTGCTATATAGGTCAATGCTCGGAGTTTAAATACATCTTCCTTCACAGTAGCAAAGGTTTTTGCCTGTTTACATTGATGTTGCGTATAACTAATGTTGTTACTAATTTTAAGACGTGATAACAAGTGAAATGTTTATATGGCTATTATACAATTAAAGTCTTAAGTTCTTCGAAACGAAATCATCACTACATGACGTCATTAACTTCTGATGTCAGAAAAAGTGACGCGTACACAATAATTATTTCGTATACTTTCGAAAACAGTGGAGATCCCTGCGGGTAAAAGGTGAAAAAAAAAAAAAACTGGGATAAACAATTAGACTAGTAGTATAATAGTACAACATTTACGATTTAAAAAAGAACTGGATTGATCAAGCTGCAATTATGATCGGACAGTTTTCTGTTTTTGTTTTTTCTGTAAAGCCATAGGCTGAAGTACTCTTTTATGAAATAGATAAAATTATTACCTCAAAATGACACAAATCATCATGTTATTATGTACTCCTTCAGGGGAAGGAGGTGGGTCACACAAGACAGTATGTTTTTTACTCTTATGAAAATGAGTTATGGATGACCCAGTAATAATTTAATATTGTAATTAATACTGCACTTTTAAAGTAATAAATAATGATTACGTAATTTTAACAGAGTTTTAAAGAAGTTTGATTAATTCAGCTGTAAATCTTTCCATTTGATATACGAATTCAGTCTATGTAGGCCTACATAAAGTAAATGACTACATATTATAAGTTTACACTAATGTGGCCTTAGTCTGCCTGCTTTTTGTTGTTTACATAGGTATAGTTATTTTACGTGAATGAATCTCTGTGATAATTTGTTATAACGTATTTGTGGCACTCTACAGTTACTTAATTGCTAAGGTCGTCTTCATTTCCTACTATCCTACAAGAATACTTCATATCTTGTTGTTACGTCATGTAACACATTAGTGTAGCTAATTGCATACGCACACCAGACTACGTCAATATCGTCTTTGTGATCATCACGTTAATATAAGTCCTCACGCTTGAGTGGGTATATAGCCCACTGTTACACGTCTATACACTTAAATGACTAATCACACGGCGGTCGTTATTAGCACGCTAACATTAAAGTAGACATGGTAATGTTAGAATTTGGTAGGCCTACAGAGGGAGCTCTCTACACATACAAATTCCAATGGTGTATTCATTATAATTTTGTACTATGTTTTATAGGTCATCATACTGTCATCTCATTGTCAATATCAGACACAGACTGCGACTACTATTAGTTTCAATGATGTTATAGCTCTTTTAATACATACATTTACATACTGTATTTTTTAATTTTTTATTTATCACCTACATTATCAGACAATATTTAAAAATATATAAGCATAAAATATAGTAGCTGCATTATTAATATGTTTCAGTCTGTTAATTGACCAGGAAAAAAAAAATGTTCGTTCTATTATTGAAAGTATTTAATTTTAGTTAATAATAAACCATAATTGAACAATCACTAGGTCGGGACTTTGTGATAGGGTTAGACGTCGTGTTAAACGCTTGCTGATCCCCTTTCGGCTTACTCGAGTTTTAGCCGCCGTAAACCAGGCTTACTCGCAGTCGCCGTGGAACGATGTCTAGTCTTTCAGTCCCAGGGGTAAATGTTTAGATTATAATGACGGCAGCCTAGTCTATTTCATACAAAGGAGGTGGAAAACTAATTTGGTTCTCTAGTGTCCTAATTCGATGTTTATACATTCCATTCCTTCCTGCTATTGTTTAAATCACATAAAACAAGGAAATATACATTTTATCAAGCGCAAACAAAAATATGTATAGAATTATTAAAGGAAAAGTTATTTAGGCCTATATATTTTGGGAACCACAAATTTAGTTTAAAGTCAAAAACTCCATATTTCCCTCTTCAATCAGGTCACCCGAAGCAAGAACACAACTGTCCTCCTCTGGCTGGAAATTAATAACGATTATTTCGATCCATGACTCAAAAAAAAATCATTTAGAATAGGAATTTCGCTCGCATGCTGGGATTTAATTCCGCATTCTCAATTTTTCACAGCCAGCCACCACCCCGGGTCGAAGCCAGCCTACGCCCCATCACTGTATCGTAAGCATTTTCAGAACTCAAAATTCAATGCAATTAAACTGTATTGAAATCGATCAACATAGTGAAGTAAAATGTTAAAGAGTGGGTGTCGCAATTGAAAATATTCACATGAAAGTCAATAAGATTAAAAACATAAAATTTACTAGAATGAATGTTCTAAGGTGTTTCAGGTACCCTGCGCTGTGAGTTCGAATTGATTATCTATTCTATTGTTTAAAT